ACTTACCTGGTATGTAATAAATGTTTAAGTAGTAGATATTTTATTAGATCTAAATGAAGCTATTAAATCTAAGTAAACATGTGCATAATATAATTAAATAAATCCTGTAACTGTTTTAAAACATCAGTTTGTTTTCTGTGTTTTAGTCAAACAACATTATTATAATAGTAAGTTAACAAAGTTTCTAGGAAGTCCATGTTTTCTTTTTTCACTTTTTGATGTACTTTGTTGTTATCTATATAAAAAGATATCTGAGTAACACGATAGATGGATTTGTTAAAGATTTCAGTTATATTTTGCAGACAAAGCATTCAACAACAATCAAAAAATGGACTGAGTCTCAGTTATGTTCAGTGTTCCTCAAAGGATTTATTTATTTTGCCTTTTAATTTTACAACATAAATGAATTCATGTGCACTTATGCTCATTATTCACACGTGAAAACTTTATTTTTGCATCACCGATATCTATCACTGATAGATAAGCCATGTTTAATTTGGGCATCTGTCCAAGTAGGACACTTTTTTCTAATGTATACTCAAAATAGCACATAAGCTCAAAAAATCGTGTTTTTAAATTAAATGAATAAACAATAAGAGTGTGCATGTGTATACTCTATTTAGAACCATGAGTTCCTAGAGTGCTTTAATTCAAATGTTAAAAATCATAAATACCAAGGCCTTTTGAATTCATCTTCTAAATTCTACTTTTGCTTAATTTTTCTGTAGATGAGAACTATCATGAAAGGCTTAAAATTTTAGGAATCTGAAAATAGGCCCAATTTATCTAAGATAGCAAGAGATCATCATCTTTATGATAGCAAGAAATCTCCAGATATAATTTTAAAAAAAACATGGCAATGCAGGGACATCAGGATGGCTCAGCTGGTTAAGTGTCTGATATTGGCTCAGGTCATAATCTTGTGGTTTGTGAGTTTGAGGCCCACATTGAGCTCTGTGATGACAGTTCAGAACCTGGAGTCTGCTTCGGATTCTGCATCTCTGCCTCTTTTTGTCCCTCCCCAACTTGTACTCTGTCTCTCTCTCTCTCTCAAAAATAAACATTAAAAAAAAATAAAAAATGAAAACATGGCTTTGGAAGCAGTTTTTCTAAGCCTCTTTTGGAGCTAGAGTGAAGGAGAGGAAGATCCTCAAAGGGATGCTGACTAGGGAAAAAATGACGTATAATATAGTTGTTATAATGAAGACAACTTAATAATTTTCTTGGCAAGTACTCTTTGTGTTGCCTTATCATTTATGACCCTTGATAAAATATGCATATAGAAATTCATCACCCATTGAGTTCCTTTTCAAAGTGAGCTTTTTCTTATGGAAACTTCCATCAACCATTCCTTTCTTCTCCCTTATCCTGCCTTTAATGTTGTCTAATGTTGTCATCACATGCTCAGTTCAGCCCCATGTTTTTTGTTTTGTTTTTGTTAGGATTCCCGATTCTTGAGATATCAGGGAAAAGATGTGATTAAGTCGCAAATGGCATTGTAGCGTAAATCTTCATAATGGTATAAAAAATTGGCTATTTCTCTAATCATAGGCATTTAATTTTTTTCTCCCTTTAATCTTGGCTCAATTGTCTTTCATCTTTGATTTCTTACTGCAACTGTATTTCCCATGTTCCTTATCCCTATCCTTTCAACTAGATGCAAACAGATAATTGGCCAGGATTACAAGCAAGAAACTTTTTATCAGCAAGTATAACTCTGCAATGTAGCCCCAGACTCCTATTCAGCCCTCTTTGAGCAGACAGTTTTGGTTTTGATTTTGGTTTTCACAGGGAGGCGTGGGGGTATGATTTAAAAATACAACAGTTGCTTTGTAGTAGAGGCTAAAGTCTGGGATGGTGATGCCTCCCGTTTTGGTTTTCTTCTTCAATATTACTTTGGCTATCAGGGTCTTTGTGGTTCCATACAAATTTTAGGATAGTTTGTTCTAGTTTTGAGAAGAATGCTGGTGCAATTTTGATTGGGATTGCATTGAATGTGTAGATTGCTTTGGGTAGTCATGACATTTTAACTATATTTATTCTTCCAATCCATAAGCATGGGATGTTTTCCACTTCTTTGTGTCTTCTTCAATTTCCTTCATAAGTTTTCTATAGTTTCCATCATACAGATCTCTTTTATCTTTGCTTAGGTTTATTCCTAGGTATTTTATGGTTTTTTGTGCAATTGTGAATGGCATCAGTTTCTTGATTTCTCTTTCTGTTCCTTCATTGTTGGTGTATAAAAATGCAACCAGTTTCTGTACGTTGATTTTGTACCCTGCAACTTTGCTGAATTCATGAATCAGTTCTAGTAGGCTTCTGGTGGAGTCTGTCGGATTTTCTATGTAGAGTATCATGTCGTCTGCAAAAAGTGAAAGTTTGACTTCCTCTTTGCCAATTCTGATGCCTTTTATTTCCTTTTGTTGTCTGATCGCTGATGCTAGGACTCCCAGCACTATGTTAAACAGCAGTGGTGAGAGTGGACATCCCTGTCGTGTTCCTGATTTCAGGGGGAAAGCTCTCAGGTTTTCCCCGTTGAGGATGATGTTAGCTGAGGGCTTCTCATAGATGGCTTTTATGATGTTTCAGTAAGTTCCTTCTATCCCGACTTTCTCTAGGGTCTTTATTAAGAAAGGATGCTATATTGTGTCAAATGCTTTTTCTGCATCTATCGACAGGATCATATGGTTTTTATCTTTTCTTTTATTGATGTGATGTATCACATTGATTGATTTGTGGATATTGAACCAGCCTTATAACCCAGAAATGAATCCCAATCTTGGTGGATAATTCTTTTTATGTGCTGTTGGATTTGATTTGCAAGTATCTTGTTGAGGATTTTTGCATCTGTATTCATCAAGGATATTGGCCTGTAGTTCTCTTTTTTTTTGCTCTGTCTCTGTCTGCTTGGGAATCAAAGTGATGCTGGCTTCGTAGAATGAGTCCGGAAGTGTTCCTTCAATTTCTATTTTTTGAAATAGCTTGAGAAGAATGGGTATTAATTCTGTTTTAAATGTCTGGTAGAATTCTCCAGGGAAGCCATCTGGCCCAGGGCTCTTATTTTTTGGGAGATTTTTGATAACTGACTTGATTTCATCACTAGTTATGGGTCTGTTCCAGTTTTCTATCCCTTCCTGCGTGAATTTTGGTAGTGAGTGTGTGTTTAGGAATTTGTCCATTTCTTCTAAGTTTTCCAATTTGTTGGCATATAATTTTTCATAGTATTCCCTGATAATTGCTTGTATTTCTGAGGGGTTGGTTGTAATAACTCCATTTTCTTTCATGATTTTGTCTATTTGAGTGCTCTCTCTGTTCTTTTTGAGAAGCCTGGTGAGAGGTTTGTCAATTTTGTTTATTTTTTCAAAAAAAACAATTCTTGGTTTCATTGATCTGTTCAACTGTTTTTGGTTTTACATTATTTATTTCTGCCCTGATTTTTATGGCCAACAGACACATGAAATGATGCTCAGCATCCCTCTTCATCAGGGGAATACAAATCAAAGCCGCATTGAGATACCACCTCATGCTGGTCAGAGCGGCTAAAATGAACAAATCAGGAGACTTTAGATGCTGGTGAGGATGTGGAGAAACAGGCACCCTCCTACACTGTTGGTGGGAATGTAAACTGGTGCAGCCCCTCTGGAAAACAGTGTGGAGGTTTCTCAAGAAATTAACAATAGAAGTCCCCTAACACCCAGCAATAGCACTGCTAGGAATTTACCCAAGGGATACAGGAGTGCTGATGCATAGTGGCACATGTACCCCAATGTTCATAACAGCACTCTCAATAATAGCTAAAACATGGAAAGAGCCTAAGTGTCCATCAATGGACGAATGGATCAAGATCTGTTTCATCTATACCATAGAATACTACATGACAATGAGAAAGAATGAAATCTGGCCATGTGTAGCAACATGGATGGACCTTGAGGGTGTTATGCTGAGCTAAATAAGTCAGGCAGAGAAGGACAGCTACCATATGTTTGCACATACAGGAGGATTAGGTGGAACTTAAGGGCTGTGGGGAAGAAGAAGGGGAAAAGTAGTTGGGGAGAGGGAAGGAGGCAAACCATGAGAGGCTCTTGAATGCTGGGAACAAACTGAGGGCTGATGGGGGTGGGGAGGTGGGGAAGGGAGGTGATGAGCATGGAGGAGGGCGCTTGTGGGGATGTGCACTGGGTGTTTTATGGAAACCAACTTGACAATAAACTGTTTAAAAATTTAAAAAATAAAAAAATAAAAATACAACAGTTATAAGCATTAAAATCCTGAGAGATTTTAGTTAAAAATCTGGAATTCTAGCTTTTGAAAAAGTCACTTGGTTAGTAACCCTGGAGGCAAAGTCCTGCAACATAGTGGAGTTGTATTTATTCCTGTAAATAGACACATGCTCTTCAGTTTGTCAGAGAATTCCCTGTTTCTCTGTTTGTAAAACCATTGACAATATAATCATTACTCAGGCATGATCTGCAGTTATTGATTCAAGATTCTAAATCAGTCCTTGTAAAAGAATAGCTAATCTTTTTTTAAAATATTTTTATCTTCCAAGTAGAGTAATAGAGTGGACTATAGGTAATTAAAAATCTTATAGGTTCAGCATTTTCCATGGGATTCATATCCTTGCAAATAATATGTTAAATTGCAGTTTTATTAAAATTACTTTTTTCTGTTCTGTCCTCATTTCAACACCTTAGAGAACAAAACAACTGCTTTCCTACCTAGAGCCTAGCCTTTTTTTCCCCCTCCATATTTCAGGACTAGTCTGTGTACTTTTTTTTCTTTTTACAGAGTGTGGAAAATTAGAGGAAATATCTAGATTTCTAGATACAGGCTATTTGTATAGTGTTAAAGTATGCAAGACTGTCTGAAAACAAAACAAAGAAAACAAATATAGCTGTGTGCCCTAACTTTGTAGCTAAAGAAAATATTACACTATGGGATTGGGAAATTCTCCATGCTGTTGAGTAGCATTTTACAATCAACACCTCTCCCCTTTTCAGGATATCGAATCCCTAACAGGAGGGCTGACTGGTTCTAAGGGGGCTGATCCGCCGGTAAGTTAGATTCTTCATTAAATTTAACTATTGATGAACTTAATTATCTACACACCAGATCATGAGATAGTTACTTGTATACAATTTGTGATATATATACCTCTGTGAAATCTATAACTGTTGCAGTAACTAATACCAAAGTGTGAACTTGATTTGAGGTATTGTTTGGTATTGTTAAAAGGTTTAATATCTCATAAAATTATCTCCATGTACTGACTTTAAAAATAAGAGTAAAATCTTCATTAGAATTTGTAAATACTTTAAGTGCTATGGACTACACCAAAATTTTTGGAACTTGAGGGGAGGGTTTACCATTCTAAATATGAATGTATGATTTGGGTTACAATATATTTTCTAGTTACTGAGAAAAATTATTTTATAAAACCATTTTATAAACAGTGTTGATTTTTGATATTGCCATTTCTTTTCTATTTTATCTCAGAAGCTTCTGGAAAATTAGAAAAGTATTCTGAAATTTTAAGGATTATTATTGTTAAGCAGTAAGAAGAGATTGATAGCCTAGTATTGGAATATCTTGCTCCTTTCTGTGATATCTGCTTTCAGAAAATATTGATTAAGATAATGTTTATGTGATGTCATGTTTGAAGTACAAACATGAGTTCATGGGGTATATCTAAGATATAAGATTCAATTTATTTCAACAGAGAATCAATGCATAAATTTCCACAACTGCTTTTCACTTGGCACTGTGAGGTTTAATGCAGACCACATAGAACCTACTGTCATCAATTTTAGCTACACTTCAGCTAGGTATCTAGGATCTGAGTGAAGTGCATAATCACATTAAAACATCAGTGAGGTATTCAAAGACAACATTCAACGGCACCTCTTTCTCTCCTGTCTCCTTCAGGTGTCCATGATGTTGTGTAATCTTCATCAAATTACTCCAAAGTAGGCTAAACAACATATTTTAGTCCTTTCCCTTCCTTTTATTTTCAGTGTCCGAATTTATGTGGGAAAAAATATATTGTCTTCAGGTAGCTGCTTATATTTAGTCCCTGAACCTATTACATTGCAGCATAAAGCAAGATGAAATGTAAGTCAACCGATGAGTATATTGTGACAGGATTTACAGGCAGCCCTATATTCAAGTAGTGTAGGTGACTACTTATGTGATGTAATTTCACCCTGCTGCCTGGCATGGTGTTGGTACATAGCATTCAACTTTTATTAGAAATGTAAACCCTTTTCCTTCCAAATCCCACCCTCATATGTCCACTGATTCCTAAAGAACTCTACAGTTAAAGATCAGTTGGTTTTAAAAGGATTTGTCCCTGGCTCAAATCAAAATTAAACACCTCTTTTCTGCAAGGGGTGATTAAAATCTTATTCATTATTTATATGTTAGAATAAGTTAATCACATCCTTTCAAGAAAACATTTTCCAAATATGGAAAATTGGGTGGGCTTAAAGCCTAGTTGTTGAAAGAAGCTCCTTGCAGTGGAAAAAAAAAAAAATCACAGAAAGGTATGCTGGTATACAGAAGGCAAGCCTCATCAAGTTCATTCCCAATTGCAAAAAGTGAAGTAAGTGTGTGTGTATGTGTGTGTGTGTGTATGTAGTTTGTGCCTGTATTTTCTGAAATTATGAAATAATTTCATGAAATAATCCATGACTATGCTTATTTTTTTACCTTTTTGTAGAATGGAAAACATCATGCAGATTTTAGAGTACTTGAGCTTTGGCAATCTAATTAGCGGGTTAACAGTACACATAAATTTAGTATTTCCCCCACCGCATTGTTAAAGAGCTATCTAGAATATTACTTAACTGTGTATAATAAAATCATTTTTAGTCCCATATAAACCTTACATAAAGCAGTCTAAGTAGAGGCAAAATGGTAATAGTATCTAGTGTTGCTTTAGTCATTTAAGAATAAGACTTTGAATAGAGCTGTTGTTTTTGCCCCCACATTAGAAAACTGAAAGTCAGATTATATTAATTATAACCTAAATCCATTTGAAGTTTTATACAATCTATTCTTTCTGTAAACAATATCTTTATGATCTAAATACTGTTATCCATTTATAAAGTTATATCTTTTGTGTGTTTACAATATATTACCAAATCATTCAATGATTAAATTTTTATTGGATAAGAAATTCAAGGTCCTTTACCTCCCCCTCATGAAACAGAATTTATAAAGTGCTGAGTGAATGGCATCTTACAATGCCATCACAAGGGTGCAGAGCTGGAAATAATTTCTTTACCAGTTTAGCAGAAATCGCAGGGATATCTTTAATTGTGTTATATTTAAAAATTAATTTTTCTGTGGGTATGCATATATTATTTTTGAAGCACAGGGAAAAAGTGAAGTTTATATTATTTTAAATAGTACACATGTACAAAAAGTTGTGTACATTTCCAAATGTAATTATAAATAAATTTGCATACCTGGAGAGAATAAATTTGAGGAATCCAAGAACATAATTTACATTTAATATTTCTAACAATAAATATTAGCATGTGTATTTTTGAAAGTTAAAGTAGTCTTAGTTTCAATACTGATAATGAAATCATTTATGATTTTCAGGAGCAATTCAAGTCTTATGATGGCATTCTTCTTCTGAAAAGGATTTTAAGAGGATTCTTTCTTAATTCAGAAACTGAAAATTAATTGGCTCAGTAGGTTAAATTTACAGATTTTTCCAAATCATATAGTTATCTTTAAAAAAAACCTCTTCTACCATTGACAAATATATTAATAGTTTAATATTACCTTAAAACTGCCTTTGAAAAACTGTATCAGACATAGTCTACATTTATCATGTTTCTCATTCACAAAAATTGGATCACAAGTTAACCTCCAGTGTAAAAACATAACATGTATTTACATATAAAACTAAGTGAAAGAAAATAGATAATTAAAATCTAAAGCATAAAAATATCATTACGTTAAATAGTGCTTTTTATATACCATTTGCCATAGTGTTTTAAGTTTTTTCTTGTTTATATTTAAATTCCAGTGTAGTTAACATACAGTTTATGTTTCAGTTATACAATACAGTGATTCCTCACTTCCATACAGCACCTGGTGTTCGTCATGACATGTGCCTTCCTTAATCCCCATCACCTATTTCACCCATCCCCACCCTTCACCTTCCCCCTGGTAACTAGCAGTTTGTTTTCTAAAGTTTGTTTTCTATAGTCTATATAGTCTGTTTCTTGATTTGCCTTTCTTTTTTGTCTTTGCTCATTTGTTGTTTTTTAAATTCCACATATGAGTGAAATCAAATGTATTTATATTTCTCTGACTGACTTTATTTTGCTTAGCATAGTACTTTCTAGCTCCATCCATATCATTGCAAGTGCCAAGATTTCATTCTTTTATAAAGCTAATTAATAGTCCTCTGTGTGTGTGTGTGTGTGTGTGTGTGTGTGTTTGTGTGTATACCCCAATCTTCTTTATCCATTCATCAATTGATAAACACTTGGGTTGTTTCCATAATTTGGCTATTGTAGATAATGCTGCTATAAACATCAGGAAGTATAATGAAATATAGGCCTACCTTAAGAAGCAACAAATACCTCAAATAAATAACCTAATATCACATCTAAAGGAGCTAGAAAAGGAACAACAAAGGAAGCCTAAGGTTAGAGAAGGAAGGAAATAATAAAAATTAGAGCAGAAATAAATGATATAGAAGCTAAAATAATAGAACAGATCAATGAAACCAGGAGCTGGTTCTTTAAAAAAAAAAAATTGATAAACCTCTCACCAGAATTAATAAAAAGAAAAGAGAAATTACCCAAATAAATAAATCACAAATGTAAAGGGAAAAATAACAACCAACACTACAAAAATACAAGCAGTCATAAGAGGATATTATGAAAAACTAAATGCCAACAAACTGGACAACCTAGAAGAAATGGATAATTTCCTAGAAACATACAAGCTACCAAAACTGAAACAGGAAGAAATAGAAAACTTGAACAGACCAATAACTGGCAAAGAAATTGAGTCAGTAATCAAAACTCTCCCTATAAAACTCTAAATCAAACACATGATATAGGTGTGGATGGACTTAAAGGCAGTCAGTTGACTAGATTTCTGCCATTAAGGTTTCTACCACCAGGCATGTTGGGCACCCAAGACAGATGTTAAGTTCCATTATAAAGAATATAAACATACATATATTTTTAGTTAAAAAAATCTCCTAACGAATAAACAGAAGTCCAGGGCCAGATAGCTTCACAGGAAAATTCTACAAAACATTTAAAGAAGAGTTACTACCTATTCTCTCAAACTGTTCCAAAAAAATAGAAATAGAAAGAAAACTTCTAAACTCGTTATATGAAACCAGCATTACCCTGATACCAAAGCCAGGTAAAGACTCCACTAAAAGAGAAAACTACAGGCCAATATCTCTGTTGAACGTGGATGCAAAAATTCTCAATAAAATACTAACAAACCAAATACAATAATATGTTTAAAAAATCACTCACCACAATCAACTGGAATTTATTCCTGAGTTGCAAGGGTGGTCAATATTTGCAAATCAATTGATGTGGTATATACCACATTAATAAAAGCAAGGGTAAGAACTATGTGATCATTTTAATAGGTGCAGGTAAACCATTTGACAAAGTGCAGCATCCATTCATGGTGTTTTATAGTTTAAATAATAATATTAAAATGTAAAAATCTGATGAAAGTTTTTATCAGGGTGTGCAGGTTGATCAGTTGTCAGACAACAGTTAGGAAGGTCAGGATAAGGTCTAAACAACTGAGCTTCAGAAAGCCAAGAGGGTTTTGGATACTGAAGACTGGGGCACAAAGCATAAACACTTCTAGACAGATATACTAGCTGCACTTGGTATCTGGAGAGCTGAGAGTGTGTTCGATCATATGGAACCAGTATGGTGATGGATCACTGTCTAGCCCATGAGCCAGATCCAGAGGCATTGACCACTCCCACTCAGGAACCAGGATTTGTCCCAGACTAATGGCTAGTTCTAAATCTGCAGCTAGAATTTAG